ATTATTGTATATGATATGATTAAATGCAATAAATCTTAAAATGAGAAGAGACACATTTTAAAGTATGCTATTATATGAGTATGATATGATTAAGTGCAATAAATGTTAAAATGAGAAGAAACACATTTTAGAATATGCTATTATTAATTACTTCAATAGCTGTGTCCATTAGAATACCGTAGTCCACCTCAGGAATTTCTATACCTGGGAAGAGATCTCCTACGATACCTTCGAACAATTCAGCATCTTGGCGTAAGAACTTTGGTATATTGCTTTCACGCAAAGCTCTGATTAAAACAACGTCTTCCGGTTTATCAGGATTGTTTCGTTTAAGACTACCTGCCATTACCAGTACGCTTTTAACAGCTCTTTAAAAATAAAATATCATACTTTTATCAGTGCGTAATAATAAAAACGAAATAAAGATTAATATATATATATATATAAAAAAACCTCATTCCGAAATCATAATGATCTTGTTGGGAAAGTTGTTCGCTACTAAGCGTATACATCAAGGTCATTTTTTGCGACAATGGCTTTGACGATTCAAATCCTTCTGAGTATAAAGTAACTTCAGCAATAAGTTCTGCAAATGGAAATTAAATTTTTTGATATATATATATATATATATATATATAATAATAAAATTTATAAAACGTACTGTAATCTGGAACCATCATAGAGAATGGTCGGAATAATGCTTTTAAATTGTCTGGTAATTCCGTACGACCAGCATATCCTGGATTCATAGTGATGAAAGTTGAACAAGATCTCACCAATTTGATGACCCTTCCTTCGAACAAAAATCTGAAAGAGAGAAGCATGTTCAAATCTATTTTAAGCATTATACAAAAAAACAACTTACTCGGTAGCTTTGGCAAGTTTAGCGTTTCTGATTGTAATTAATTGCTGAGCTATCACAGAAAGCACTTCGATATCTATTCTATTAAATTCGTCGAAACAGCACCAAGCACCGGAAGTAGCCAGACCAGAGAAGAATCTACCCATCATCTACGGATCACAATTTCTCCATTTTAATTATTTAATTAATCTTCGAATAATTTTCATGGGAAAAAGGGGGAAAAAAAAAGAAATAATCGAAGGATAATATTTGGCGCACTCTAAAATCAAGTCCTTCTGAACAATTAAATACGACACATTGAACAGCAACTGCTTTGGCCAAATCCTTTGTCGTTTCCGTTTTTCCGGTACCCGCCGGTCCTGCAGGAGCACCACCTAATTTTTTTCCATTGTTAATGTTCATAAAATTATTTCAGAATAATATCACTTATTTTAAAAAAATCATTATTAATATAATTTTTGACACTTTAAAATTCATTAATACCTAGATCTAATTGCAGAGCGCCCATAAGACACAAATAACATCTATCTGTCAGAGGGGTTATGACAAGCCTCTTTTGAGCGCCGAGATATTCATATCCATAGGGATATTCGGAGTTACTCATACACACTAAGCAAGTATCACGATCCTCGTGCCAATAATAACGTAACGCTTTTACCCAGTCAAAGCTCATACTGCAATATATAACTCATTGATTTTGATAGTGTAATATCCAACTGTTACTTATTCTCATTTAATTATCGTTATCCCTACTAATTTAATATTAGTAAAATTAGAATTTCAGTTTTCATGGTATGTATATAATATGCATTACAATTAAGAGAGCAAAAAAATGCAACAATCATTATTTAATAACGATATTATTATATTTAAAATAGAAACCAATCAACAAACCATCAATTTTAGTGATTTTAAAATATACTATTGTTTTGAATAATTTTTGAACTTAAAATTTTGACAATATTTATAATTTTTAATTAATATTTTAATTAATTAATTTTTAATTAATATTTATAATTTAAAATATATAATTTTGAAAATAATTACCGAATAATTTTTTTCAATAAAAGTTTTGTACTATAATTTTTTACCTCCTTGTTGTTTTATTTTCAACCAAATTTGTAATGATATCTCTGGAATGCACATCTATTGTTATCAAATTAGTTACGGTATCACGTATTAATTTTGGTAGTTCTTCTCTCACCATCATGGCCAATGTATTTAATTCCTAAAAGTGGTAAAAGTAAAAAATTTCATGAAAATTTTCAATAAAAATTTCAGAAAAAGGAGGGAAAAAATAAAGAAATTAAAAGATGGGGCGTATTAATCCTTTGCCTTGCAATTTAATCGAGAAACATTAGAAAGAAATATTATTTAATTTCATTCAAAACTCTATGTACGAATCAAACGAATTAAAATAAAATTTATGATAGCTTTCAAAATTATATGACATTTCAATGTATTAAAAATTCATAACATCTTCGTTATCTCAATTAAAACAAAGATATCTCAAATAAAACATAAATATACCTCATAACAATGTTGCTCGTATTTTTTCATTTTTTCGATCACATGCTCAGAAGATTCTAAGATTAAATGTACATCACGAACCCAAAATATTTGACATACAGTAAGAATTATCTGAAAAAGGGTAAGGAAAAATAAATATACAATCTTATTAATTATATTTTATTTCACATTTTATTTCATTTTTAAAAATATTTAAAATATACTTTTTATTTTAAATTACTTATTTAATATTAAGATTAAATGTCGCACGATTGGAATCGAAATGCGTCAATTATCTCCGAAAAGATATTTGCATTCCAAGTATATTAAATTTCTAAAAGCATATACAGACCTCAAAAATAAAGTTTTAGTCACAAGAATTGATAAGAATAATTAAACTAGTGCGACAATTAATCGGGTATTATTGTATTGTAAAGTAACTTAACCTAATCTAATCTAACCTAACCTGAGAAGGATGTATAAAAATAAAGTCGTGCCGACTCTTCACTTCAAAATCTTTAATTGCATCTTTCATTGCTTTTCTTAAGGTTAAAAACATAACATCTTCGACTCGACCTAACCAATCTTCGACATTACCCCTAGCTCTCAAACTTCTCTCAAAAGGAACTTTTTCACCTTCCGGTGAGATCATGGCAATTATATCCGTCGTTAAAACTTCACCAGCTTCAGTTTCTTTCGTTGCAAACTCCAATCTGTATATAGCATCGAAACACTTCTGCAAGTATCTTTGCACCGCATGTGGATTCTTCGTCTATTGTATAGTAGTTGGTATTTTAATAATCGTTCCAATTGGAAACTTAATTCTGTTTTTAGCGTTTTTAATTTGAAAATTTTCTTTTTTGACCGATACCTGGGCCAAGATTTCTAACAGTTCATCATTAGATAAGAAAAAGAATCTTGGAAACGCTATTCGTTTTGTCTCAAGATATGCTTCCAAACATTTCATCACTTCGTCTAGCATCCGGTTATGCATCTCTATTTGTTCCAATAATCCTGGTTGCGTACACGCCACCATAGCTAAAGGTGCCTAGAAATTATTAATATATTTTGTTAGATATTGTTAATGAAATATTTTATGAATATTAATTGCAAACCTTATAAGTTCGTCTCATGAGATCTTTCCAAAATCTGTCAACGTCGATGAAAAGTTTTGCTTCCATAGGTAGTTGTCGTTGGATATCAGGAGCTGAAAATATAGCTTCAAGATACAACCATTGTTGTTGCAGAAGTTGCCAAGCTTCCTAAATCGCAAATGAAATTAATTATATTTAAGAATCATATTATCAGAATCGAAACTGTTAAATTTTTATGAGTAAAATTCATTTTCTTAATTTTTAATATTTAAAATCCCTTTACTTCTTTCTTTGGTTAATTTTGCACATTAATATAATAACTCTAACTCTGTGAAAAATAATTATTTTATTCTCAATTGATAAAAATCCTTTTTAAGATAAAATATAATTATTTCTTTAATTACTATTATTAAGAAAGAAGAAAATAAATCATCCTTTCAATTGTTTCATTTCTCTAACAATAAAAAGATGACTTATGATAAATATAAAGATGGATTCGTTCCCTTTAAGATTTCCCTTGAAAAAATAATTACTTCATCCTACAACAATTTCTTTTAAATACTGAAGAAAATAATAATCGAACTTTATAATTGAAAATTTTAACAGTTTCTCATGCGATATCAATATAATATAACATTTAAAAAAGATTTGTACCAAAGTTTCTGTAAACACTTCAAGCTTATGTATCCATTCATCGACTAAAGGTTTAATGGGACCAACATGGCGGGATGCATTGACAGTTTGTAAATTGATATTGCTTTCGTCCATTGCAAGTTGAATTTCTTCAAGGGTACCTATGATGTAAACATCTTTTCCCTCTTTGTAGGGTACAATAATAAACTTGAGGTTTTCCCAAGTGTCTATAACCTTCTGCAACATGTTTTCCAAATTAGCTTCAGAACTTGCAGCTGCGGCAATTTCCATTAATTCATTCGGCTTTAAGAAGGCGCCAAGCTCTTCCATCAGAGTCCAAGTCTTTTTCACATCAGGCTTAAAAGTATAATTCAACAAGTCTTCGATCTTCGCCCAATGCCTGTCTCGCAAATCTGGATTTCTCAAATAACCGAGAACTGGCAACTTATTTCTTATTAACTCAACGCTCTCTCTTAATTTAGGTACAATTTTGTTTGGTGGCAAACCCCTCTCTAATTGAATTATATTTTTCATTGTCTTCATTGTAAACCCGGTGATCTCTTCGACGTTCAAGGTATCGAAATCGGCGGAATACCATTCGTAGATAGCTTCCTCCCATGAAGTCAAACTTTCCCACAATAATGTGCGTAATCTTAACTCGTTCATTACTTGATCCAAAATCTCGAATCTTGTTTGTTCGAGCTTTTTAAGGAGAAAAAAATTAATTATTATTAATTATATATATAGAATTCTACCACTTAATTTATTATGATATTATAATATATAAGCAAATCTTTATTTAAATTTTTATCTCTTTAGTCGTGCTCATAAAAATTTGATTCAATATAAAAATTCATAATCTATATTATCAATTATCTTTTTCTATCTATCAAGCAAAGTATAACTTATTTTCATCATATCGTATATTTTGTATAAATTGTTCTATTATATTATTAAAATAAATATAAAATATATATTCTGATATTTGAAAAATAAAGCAAATTTTTATTTAAATTTTTATTTAATCGTACTCATAAAAATTTGATTCAATAAAAATTCATAGTCTATTATCAATTATCTTTTTCTATTTTTACTTTGTATAAATTGTTCTATTATATATTAAAATAATATATAATATATTCTAAATATATGAATATATGATACCTTAAATGTCCTCTGATGGCCACGATATCGTTCCGCCTTAACTGCACACACGGCTAATCGATCACCAAGTTCCTTCAAAGTCTTTAAACAGGCATCGACGTTGCTATCGTAATCCAATAGCCAAGGTAGCTGTAAAAAGGTGAAAAGATGGCGATGACATAAAATAAACGATGAATATATAATAATATACGTCGTACCATTATTTCATCGAGAATTTCTGATATTTCTTCGTTCAATGCTGTGATATCCTTCTGAAGTTGCGCGTTGAATTTGTTTATTAGTTTCGGCCTCATCTCTAATCTATTGTCTACGATCAGTCTCAAACTGGTAAATTGACTCCCAATACCCTATTTTCCAAAGTTTAGTCTATGTTACATTGCATATTATATTTTAAATAAATTATAATTGCAAAAGATACATTATAATTACATATCCATATTAATAAAATTGTCTCTTTAAATTTCCTTCTCTCTACCGAACTACGTCAAAAGAAAGAAATCGACATGTTTTTGTTAAAAGATAAAGTGTCTGCCTCGAATCTTTTGCAATTATATTAATGATGAGCAACAAAAGCGTTACCAAATAATTTGCCATATCCATCGACGGTATCGGAAAACCAAATTCTTCCATTGTGTCGTATAACTCTTTTACGTAATCCAATTGTGATTCCATGTCATCTACATTTGCCTGGGCTTGATCTACGAATTTAATATATTTAACATATTCTTCAGTCGTCGTAGGCATGATTTCGAGATAATTAATGGAATCAGTCGCTTGCGTTAATAAAGCGTCGACTCTCCTTTTTCCTAACCTAAAAAAAAATATATATATATACTTATGTCAGAACTTTCTCCAATATAACGATTTGTTAGGAAATATTTTTTAAATTTACCTCGGCATAACTGCTTCGATGACAGATAATTTTCCTCTAGGAGCAGTGTCGGCAATATTTTTAAATCGCTCGAGTTGAATCAAAAAAAGTCCAAACGGTTGAGAATCGATAACTTTATTTATTATATCTACTTCTTTTTTATAACGGATGCTCCACTCCCGAAATAATGCGCAATCTCGATTGTCGCGGATAATATTTTCGTCGAATATCATATCTTCGTAAAAAAATTGTCTGATTTCGTCGAATCGTTTACAATAACGTTCTATAGCATTGAAATTTTTATCTAAAATTTCCTCTAATTCAATTTTGAAATTTTGCATCACTACATCTTGCTTCAAAACTACCTCAATTTCCGGAGGAAATCCGCAAATGCGATCTTCTATTTTGTGATTGATCATAGGCCTCAAATGAACGTACACAAAACCTTACAATTCCAAGAAATTATTTTATAAACTGATTCTATGGTAAATAGCGTTTATATACCTCGTAAAAGAGTGGAAAAAAGGATCCGAGAGTAAAGGTTTGATGGCAAATAAATTCTCCTCCCACATTGTTTGTATAGTTTTTATCACATAACGAAATATATCTTCCTGTGGATCTAATATAATCTCTGAAGATGGTAAGATAAGCAAATCTACAATCCAATATGGCAACTAAAACATAGATCGTTCGTTCATAAATTATTCTTAATAAGGTATTGTGTTCATGTGAACATAAGATAGTATGTTGATTAATTGTTGCACTTTTTTTATCCACTTAAAATTTATTTAAAGTTATTTAAAGTTATTAATCTTGCAAATCTTCATCAATTTCTGTAACCTCAGTTTTTGAGGCATATATCTTTACTTTAGAAACTTAAAACACGAACACTTTTTTTCTATCTTCCTTTTCCATTTTTCATGAGCCAATAAAGCAAGCTCAAATGATTAAAATGATAAAAGTTGAGGAAAAAACATTAATTATAATATTATCAATTATAATATTATATATTTAAAATAATGATAAGGATAAGTAATACATCCCAATCTTGATAGTGCAACAATTAATTAGGCACTATTGTATTTCTTCAAACTGATATAGGATGAAAATCAAAAATAAAAAGATTGTGTTTTAATTATTGATATTAAATGGAAGCAATTGCTTGCGAAACGTAATCTTTTCACTCTTAATTTTCATCTTATTTTGAGAAGAAATTTGAAAAATCATCCTTTAATTTTTTGATACTTTGATGACTTGTAAACGAACATTCTGTATATTTTATACCTGAACACGATGCGATGCTGGACGATTTTCTTTTAAAGGAAGATCAATTATATCATTATCTATATCTTCATCACTTGGTAAAAAACTTGTGTAGATTTTTAATATCTCTATAAAATTTTGATAAGTGTTTATTAATAGACAATGCATCATGTTTGTTTTCATATAATCAATCAAGTGAATAAAGCTGTAAAATTGTAAAAATTGTAAAAATTGTAAAATTGTAAAAATTTATTTATTTTTATTTCCCGCATCAGGATTAATAATTTTTTTAAAGTATTTAAAAAATTTTTAAATAACTTACCAAGATAGCCTATAACATTTTTCCCTCTTTCGTGCTTGTTCTATATAACTCATTTTAAGAATACCATCTTTAGGCATTTTGAATTTGATAACACCAAATTCCCCTAATAATTATATAATTAATTAAATTAAAATTAGAAAATAAATTCTGTGTGAATTCATAGAAAAAAAAAAAAATATAAAAAAAAATCTACGTGTTTCTTCTTCTAAAAAAAATTAAATATTACCAAGTTTTCCATATGCAGTTTGTTCTATTGTTATATTAGAATCATCCGGGGTATATCCAGCTTTTAATAGAGCACCAAGGCAAGCATTATTAACTATATCCATTGCTAAATTTCTAAACTCATCTAACTTATCTCTAAGTAATTCTAGTTTTGTAAACTATAAATAAATATTTCAAAGATTAGAAATATATTATTTATTATTAAAGATGGTAATATTTATTATCATCATTAAAGATATGTCAAAATATTGTACGGAATATCAGAATGATTCTTACTTCATTTTTCTATAAAATGAAAATATCTCTCAGAAAGTGAATATTTTTAAAAAATTTCTGGAAATTTTATAAAAAATGAAGATATAAATGATAAAAAATATTTGTCATGCCATTCTAATATAATATATGTACATATTCATGAAACATCTTTGGTATATCAATTCTAAAGGCCAAAACGAACACAAAAATTGATATTGCAAAAATATCATTTAAAGCTTATTTATTAAATTATAAACAATTTAAATTAACTTTACATGAAATAAACCGGAAATAGATAATTCTATCTTTATTACACCGTCATATTCTATTTTCGTCTTGTTTCATTTAACACAAACTCATAATTACTCATAACTATAAAGAAGTCACAATTAACTATATATTTGCATTTATTTCGGATTCTAGAATTGATTCTTCATAAATATTTGATGAATATTTTAACAAATATACATTACATAATAGTAGCTTAAATTTAGCTACAATATTTGCTTAAATTCTAATGTGCTACAAGTTTGTATTATAATTATCCTGAAAAATAATGATTCTATATTCAAATTAAAAACTTGCAATTCTCAAACATAAATTAAATCACTTTTAGATATTCATTTGAAATGTTTAAATTAATTACTGATAAAAAAACTCAATATATGCATTAGGATTTATTTTTATCAACTCATTAGTATTTTTAAGAAGATAAAATAAAAATTATAGAAATTTTTAATAATTGAATATTATAATGTATCTAATATATAGACATTTTATTGCTTGATTTCGTTATATCTATATCTATATTATATCTATATCATTATCTTTGTTAATAGTTTTAAGTTTTACATTGAGCTTGAGATATTAAATGGATTAAATAAGCATTACATGTACTGTAAATTTCTTCTTAAATGTAATATATTTTTACCTGTTTTTCTGCGAAGTAAAAAAGTAATATCTTTTCAAAAAAGCTATTATCAAAGAAACTGGAATCAAGGAATATCGTACACATCGATTTAATCTCTAATAATGCTTTACTGAGTATTGCATCCGTTATAAACAAATTATCATTTATAAAATTTTTCGCTGAGATAAATTTCTTATAAATAACTGATTTTCTCCAAATGTAGAAAGCTTTCCACATTCGAAATATAATAAACGTCCTTAACTAGAAATAAAAAAGAATTATAAAAATATTTGGAAAAAAATTTGATGAAAAAATGAAAGAAATAATAAAAGACAGGGCAGTTATGTATACCTTTAATAATTTTAAGTAAAAAATATATTCTCTTTCCCATTGCTCAATAGGAGTAAAGATCATTTCATCTGGACTGTATTGGGTTACACCATTAGCACTGATAGTCATATAGATTTTTCCTACATCTTTATATGGAACAACTCTAAGTAATATTATTATAAATTATTTGTATGTTTTTAAAAATTTTTTTAAAGAACGGAAAAATAAAATTTTACTTTAACGCATAAGGGGTAAAATATTTCGAAGATGGTTCAACTGCATAAATTATATAAAAAAATCCTATTTTACGGTCCTCTCGTAATTGCCGTATTAATTCTAATTGATCAACGAACACTGGAGCATCGAAATCTTTTTCTTTTTTGTATTTCCATGGAACTCGTTCTAAATCTCCTTATAACATAAAATGAAAAAGAAATGAAAATTTGTTGAAGATTAAAATTAGAAAAAAAATTATAAGAAAAGTAAAATAACTTATGATTGTTTCAGACGAGACATCTTTTGTTAATGACTTTTTCTCTTCTACTTTTGGTAATGAAGTAGTTGGTTTAAGAACTCGTTTCCTAATTTTTTCTTGTTGGGCGGCAAAACCAGTCTACGAACAATATTTTCTTTATATTTTTGAATAAAAGTGAAGAATTGAAGAAGAAAAAGAATTGATATTCTTACCAATGGCTCTCGAATTTCCGGTTTATATACTATTTTTTCGAGGAGCTTTTTATGTGGTATGAAAAACGGTATTTCATTCTTTCCTCTAAATCGAATATATAATTTATAATATAAATTAATCAATAATTTTTAAATATATATCTTTATCATTAACTTATATTAATTTATATATTATATTTATATAATATAAATATAAATTTAACTATATAGAGATTTTTATTTTAAAAATTTATTCTTTATATAATATAAATAATAGTATTAATTATATAATTTATTTTATGAAGATGAATATTATTATAAAATTAATATTATTATATAAATTATTAAAATATATATATAAATTATATAAATTATATAAATTAATAATATTAATAATGTTAGTAATTTTGAAATAAAATTTTATATTACATTTTATAACTGATTGGAGGTGGCCGACATGCTCTATATTTTATTTTCTGCAGAGTATCGGATACATTAATATTTTCGTATTTCTTCTCCGATTTCTTAACTGTAGAATCATCTGTAATATCTTCTTCACTTGCTTTACGTTTATTTTTATAATCCATATTTTTTTTTATTTTTTATCAAAAATTATAACAATAACATTAAATCATTTTACTTCTATTTCTAACCATTTACTGACTAATCGTATCGATTAAACAAACGAAACTTTAATGAACATTGTGAGCTCCCTCTATTTTTATATTTATACTAAAATTTTATGTTATATATATTATTATATTATATAATATTAAAAATTAATATCAATATTGATTGTTATACTTATTATAAATACAATCAAAAGCAAGATAAAATAAGATAAGAATTGAGGATCAACGCCATTTCTTAAATTCATTTAGAGAGGTATTTTTGTTATTCAAGAGATGACACTGACAGTCAATTCTTACTTTATCTCTATTTCACTCACGATTTGATCTTGTCTATATTTCTTATAAATATAAGACGAATTAATATTTATTGTTAATTAATTATAATTAATCACAATTAATAGCATATCATTTTATTATTAAATTATTATTATTAAATATAATAATATTATTATTAAATAAAATACAATAGAAGTAGAGAAATTTTGTCTAATGCAAATTAGATTATAACTTATATTTATTAATTATATTTATATTTATTGATTATAATTTAATTTTTTAATTATAATAATTAATAAATAAATCTCAACTAATATTTCTATATCAATTTTTGTATTTTTTGACCTCTAAAATTGTTTTCTATTAAATTGATTATTGTCGCATGTGAGACGAAAATATTTTTTCAATATTTTACTATTGAAAAAATTTTGAATTTCAAATAATTAAAAAGATTTTATTATATTTTAGAAATAGAATGATAATTTAATTGTG